CTCCCTAGTATAGTTGATAAAACTATAAAATATCTTTGACATTTCTTTGTCCCATTAATGCTTTGCCTCCCTATTTTTCTTCTAAATGTCCTTCCTCAGACCCTCCTCTTTCACACACATTATATCTGGTATTTACATCTATATACTGTGTTTCTATATCTTTTAGTCAATCAGTTTCAGTCATAGAGTGCAGACACTCAGTATATATTAAGTGGGGACATACAATGCCTCTCCTTTATAGTCTGGCTTGCTTTTTTTGACAGGGCTTTCCTCTGGCAACCCTCTGCCCCAGCTTCCCAGGTATGTGGGATTATAGGCGTGTGCTATTGCACCCAGCCTGTTCAGGCTGGTCTGGGATCTGAGGCCCTGGCATTATGCAGCAGTTCCCTACCTTTTGTGCCACCACAGTGGGGACAAAGGTAACTTTACACAGTGCTTTTGTATTGCAGTGTTGACCAGGGTTCATCACATGAAGGCAGATGTGGAATTTTCCCCTTGGAGTGCCATGTTGGCACTCACAGAGTTTTGAATATTGTAGCACTGGGAATTTCAGATTTTCAGATTAGGGATAATCAATTTGTACTTGAATGGCCATGAACAGTGAAAATAAAGGCTGCACGTCAAGTTTTTAATACATACTTTGCCTTACTGAAAATGCTTCTGAAGAGATTTCTTCAAATCTTTATGCTATCAGGAAACAACATCAGTTTTTTCTAAGTAGTCACATGGAACTTAGGTTCTTAATAAAACAAAATTTTGTGTTAAGATGTATATGAATAAATTAAGCAATTTACTCTGTAAAGTGTAACAAAGGTATGGATGCCTGGTGTAGCTATGAACACCAAGTTACTAGTAAATGAGAACTGATGAAATATCTTTTAAAATTTTTTTAGAGGGATTTTTGCTATAGGGTGCATGATCTGGCCAGAGAGACAGAAGTGAGGAAGCACCTTCCAGGGTGGATGGCCACACCACAATCCCATCTCCTCCATTCTCTTCTTGGGATTTGGGCACACGTGCACACATGGCCAGTGTGAGTTTTAAGCCACCAGGTCTGGGACTCAAGCTGCAATCAACTATGTGGGAGTCCAACAATGCAACCATTACTGCTGGTCCCAAGAACTGATAAAATACCTTAACTTGAACATGAAATAAGGCTTTTTGCCTCCAATGCTGAATGAAACAATAGCAAACATGTACAGCTTTACTTGAAAGTACAGCTGCCATAGGTATCTCAAGAGGACTTGCACTTGAATAAAGTCGCAAAGTAATTAGCAGTAAAACCAGAGACAAACCTAAGATTAAATCAAAGTAGGTCCCTAAATCAGTTCTTTTTTTCTTTTTTTATTTTCCAGAGGGCTTATGCTTTTGCCAGAAAAAAAGAGAGAGAGAGACAGAAAGCACTCCCAGTAGGTCATGATCACACTGAAATCCCTTTTCCATTTCTCCACTCTGTTACGATTTGGGGCATGCACACACACACACACACACACCTGGCGTGTTTCTCAAGCTACCAGCACCAGGATTTCAACTGTGGTTGGCAATGTGGGATCCAGTTCTCTTAATAATGAGGCTAATGGGCTTTGCCCATAAATCAGTTTTTAATGATTCTATGTTTAACACATATGGAATAAATATTAGCCATCAGGAAAGTCACTGCATATTTATCTATGCAAAAATGCATCATGACTTTCCCGACAAGCATGATAGGTTTGAAATATTCATTTTCTTTGCCATGGCAGTTTAATTTGAATTTTACATTTACAAAGATCTCCCAGAGTTAATCTAACGCATGCCCTCATCTAAATTTCATTCCAATTCGAGAAATGCAGAATAGAGTAATAAAAAGAATATTAGACTGGGAGTTAGGATTCATGGGTTTCAACAACCTCATCTGTCACCCATTTAGTTCATAATTTCAGTAAGTCACTTATTAGTCATCTAAGTTAAGGACATCACCTGTAAAATACGGACTAGCTCTAAATTTCTATGATCCTACCTAAAGGATCTCATTCCACAACACATAATCTGATGTGATGATTACTAATAACACATAAGTTTTGGGGACCAGCAGTTAGCGTAATGGCTATGTTGCTGGACTTCCATGTAGTCGACTGCGGTTTGCGTCCCGGACCCGGTGGCTTAAAACTCACGCCAGTCGTGTGTGCGTGCGTGCCCAAGATCCCGAGAGGGGAAGGGATTGCAGCATGGCCATCCCCCCCGGGGGGTGATTTCTCACTTTCTGTCTCTTTGTCTCTGTCTGGCGAGTGCACGCGCCCTATAGTGAAAACTTCTCAAAAAAAAAAAAAAAAAAGAACATAAGTTTTGAACGTTTAGCTTCTTATATTCAGTGCATTTTTCTAGGTGTATATTTAGTTTCTGCCCTATGTCATACACTTATTTAGATCTTCAGGCTAAGGATATATTTTAGAAAAATTAATTTAGAAAGGAGAGACATTTTAATTGTATATAAGTTAGTGTGTCCACATAGTAACTACATGGCTCGTACTCATGCATAAAGTAGGTAGTTTATACTACAGTTTAATAAAGTTAGTCTAATTCCATTATACAGAAAGGATGAGGAACAAAATTCATATGTAATGAACTTCAGCACTCTCTCTATATATATATCAATATGTTAATTCATCTGATGAGACACAATGAATGGAGAGTATTGGTCAAGATCTTCCTCATTATATCACTGAATGGCTGGCAATGAAATGAACATTATTTTCTTTGAGTTTCTTTAGTAAGTGCATCTTCAAGCTTTGAGCATTTCAAATAAGTTACCCTTTACTTCAAAATTACTCTCATTTTTAACTAAATATAAATCCCCTCCTTTTATCCCTTCTTCCTTTCTCTCTACAAACAGGATTCAAAAAACATTGAGTGGAGGGAGTGGACTCAAAAAGAGAAGAGCTACTTCTAAGCATACTTGGAAAGTTAACACATAGTGCTATGTATACAACTGTGTGCCAGTTGTATATATACATCTTGAATATACATTTTTAAAATTTAAATATCGTGGGACCAGCAGTTAGCGTAATGGCTATGTTGCTGGACTGCCATGTAGTCGACCGCAGTTGGAATCCCGGACCCAGTGGCTTAAAACTCACACCGGGCACATGTGCATGCGTGCCCAAGATCCTGAGAGAACAGAGAAGGAATTGCAGTGTGACCATCCCCCCAGAGGGGTGATTTCTTGCTTTCGGTCTCTCTGTCTTTCTGGTGAGCATACGCACCCCATAGCAAAAACCTCTCAAAAAAAAAAAAAAAAAAAAATAAACATCGAAGGATTATTTGACCAGATGTTTAAACAATACAGGGTTATTTGGCCAAATATAATTTATTAGGATATTGAATTCTGCCACATTTCTTGTTATAGTAATTCAAGCTAAATATAGACATACTGTTAAATGATATGTGTCTCTAGTCTATTTTGACATTTAAATGGGCAGTCACCCCTCATGTAGATGTTTTACAGTCATAGTTTGTTTTTTAAAAAATACAATATTTTACAGTCTTTAACATTTTAATAAATAATAGGTTATATTAACATACATAATCTATTTCATTATCATAGTCTAAAATAATAGTTTACAAGACAGTTACTCTTCAGGGTCATTCATAACATAAAAGTACACAACAGAAACATTTTTAAATAACCTGGACAACTGCTTATATAATTAGGTAACTTGAGAATCACAGGTATTTAAAAAGGAGTGCGGGGCCAGCCCATGGTTAAATGAGCTGGATTCCACATGGCCAACAACACAGCCACACTTAGTGATTAAAAAAACACACCAGGCATGTGTGTGAGCGTTTATGTGTGGGTGTGCCCAAACTTCCAAAAGGAGGGTGATACAGAGAAGGGCTTGAGGTATGACAATGCTCCAATGTGAGGGCCAGAGGGGGTGTTTACTTGCTTTCCAGCTTCCTCTGGAAAGCACATGTGCTCTCCACAAAATTTTTAAGAAAGAGTGAGATGTGAGTGACAGGATAATTGTGATTTCTTTAATATACAACAACACATTCATTTAATAGAAAATAGCAATTCTGTGTCAAATTTTAATAGGTCAAGATTATTATGTGTTTACCTTTTAAGGAAGTAAGATTGTAACATTTAGAAATTTCTTCCAAACGTGTCATAGTATTTCCTTAATATAGCTACCTAATTCACACCAGGTCACGAGAATTATTATTACCTTGTATTAGCTATCCAGGGACCTGCCAACTACAGTCTATGGGCCAAATTGAGCCTACTGCCTGTCTGTCTATAGTTTTACTGGATGACAGCCAAACACATTCATTTATATAAAGCCCAGGGTTGCTTTCATCCTACAATGGCAGAGTTGAGCAGTTACATCAGACACTATCAGCAGAAAAGTTAAAGTATTTACTATCTCACCTTCACAGAAAGTTCCCCAGTCCTGAGTTTTTAATTTTTCTAAGAGTCTCCATAAAAGAAAGGAGAAATGAAAGCACTATTTATTACCAATAAAACTAACAGTGCTTTTATAAATGGAAAACTAAATAAATTAGTAAGAAGCTATTTATTAAAATGCTTCAGATATTTAAACCCACCAAAAAAGTTAATACTAAAATGAAAATTAGTATTTATTAAACAAGTTTCTATAAAATAGTACATGATGCTAGAATAATCAAACTTGTTTTTAAATGTCACTTGTAAAGTTATTTGATTTATAATCAGATATCTAACATTTCTCTTATTACAATATTTATAGGAAAATGTAGATATAACACACTGATCAGAATAGCCAAGCAGAAATGGTTTTGCACATCAAAAAACTCAGATATAAAGGAATTATATCCATGTTAATGAATAAATTTCCTGTCAAATGCAGTGAACTACATTCTTAAACAGAATGCTTTTTTTTCCAACTAAATCGGCTTTTCTCAAAACTGTGTAACTTTGTAATTACTTTGTGTTTGTCCCTACAGTCTCTGCAAAAACAAATTTTGATTACTTTTTTTTTTACCTTGAGATCACGGTACACAATCTTTCCGGAGTGTAGATAGTCCAAGGCTGAGACAATCTCTGCACCATAGAAACGTGTGCGGTCCTCAGAGAACACCCGCTCTCTCGACAAATGGAAAAACAGCTGCAGGGTAAACAGCAGGGACAGGATTGTAATAATTACTGATTTAGTGGGGGAAATTAACACAAACATAAAACACCTCTCATCACCATATTGTGATGATAGATAGTGTACTCTCAGTGGACCCTGAGCACTCTTAGACAGCAGCTGGCTTATCTTTTCCAGGTTTCCAAGGGGAAACTGCGAGCTGTTAAATCAGCGTTTTAATCAATATACCAATCTTGTTTAAGGCATTCTGCTTGCTACCCATTTAACCTTCAGTTACCAGAGGAAAAAAGTATGCATCATCAGATTGCATTTCCCCCCTCACTATACTGTTGCTTCACTCTTAAAGGATTAAGTACTGAGACATTATCACAATAAATGAACACAAGCACAGACACAATATTTCTACTTAATTATCTAATCTACACTTCATTTCAAAGAAAGGACTGATTTGTGAAGCTGATTTGTATGAACTTTTTATGTTCTACAATTGTTGTTTCATCATGTCTCAAAATATTTTCAAAGTTTGAATCAATATTTTCTATCATGAGAAACTATAAGGTTTTAATTTATTTTGGCAATCCCAAAATGAATTGAGAAGCTTTCATTATTCCCATTATAATGCATATTCCTTATATTTTCAATAATAATGAACTATGATGCCCAACTCTTCTCATACAATAACTCAAAACTATGAGCCCAACCAGTTCCTAGTCAAAATTTAAAAGATATACCATGTATAGTCAGCAATATTTTCTGGGTGCTTAGTGTGACCCGGACCTGGACCTGGCTCAGCTCTCTGCTTAGGCCAGCTCTGTATCTAAGACACTGCAAATCTCATCTCTCAGGTTACCAACACACAGGAAGGAAGAGCAGGCTTCAGATCCTATAAGCTATTAACCTTGGCTGTACTATTTCAATGCACAGATGGCCCCCAACTAAGGATGGTTCTATTTATGACTTTTCAACTCTACGGTGGGTTTATTGGGATAGAACCCATTGTATGTCAAGGAACATCTGGACTTACAATGGTTTGACTTAGATTTTCTACTTTACTTTAGATTTATCAGGGTATTAAATACATTTTGTTACTATTATTTTTTCATCTGTGATGGGATCTTAAGGCGAGATCCACCTATATTAAGAAATCCTTGGGACCAGCAGTTAGCATAATGGCTATGTTGCTGGACTCCCATGTAGCTGACCATGGTTCAAGTCCCGAATCAGGTGGCTTAAATTCACACCAGGCACATGTGCGCCGAAGATCCTGAGAGGAGAATGGACTGTGGCGTGGCCATCCCCCCGGGGGGTGATTTCTCGCTTTCTGTCTCTAGCTGTTTGACGATCACACACGCCCTATAGCAAAAAACCTCTCAAGAAAAAAAAAAAAAAAAAATCCTCCAAGAACCATTAAAGATTGTATGCAGAGCTAAAAAAATTGCCAGATATAATAGTAGATACTCAATATACATATGTGATAAAACAAGTGAACCCATCAGTTATTGTGCTGTTGACTGGAAAAGCAGAAATTAACTATACCACCATATGGATCACTCTTAATGCTTCTACAAAACTAGTAAGAATTACGGCTAACCAAGATTTGTTTCATACACAACCCATTATTCCTGGTAATTTCACAGATTTCTAAGGATGCCTTCTTCCCATTTCTCACCTTCGCCTCCACTTAACAGACTATTATTGTTTAAAGACAGACTTTTGGGCCAGCAGGTGGCAAGGTGGTTGGGGCATTGGACTCCCACAGAGCTGACCACAGTTCAAGTCTCAGACCTGGAGACTTGCTTTCTCACTTTCTCTTGATTTCTTTCTTTCTGGTGAGTTCATGTGCCCAATAGCAAATTAAATAATAATAATAATAATAAAACAATAAGTGAAATTAAATAAATAATACTTTTTAAAAAAAAAGATAGACTTTATATATGACCCACTTATACAATAAATAAATACAAAGAAAAAAAAGTATAACTACTATCAAAAAAAGACTGGCACAACATTAACTATATTAAAACTAAAATATTTGTCTGATAGTCATAAACTTTACTACTCCCTACTACCTTGTCATATTTCATTCAAACAAAGATGCTACAGAATGGGACTGTACCATCATTTCACATTATCTCTCAGAAGGAAAAACAATGTTGCCAATTAAACTATGACACATCATCTACTATAAAATACATTCTGACTAAAGCAAGTGGTATTAAATGTGTGATACAATCAAATACAATATGCCAAAAATCAAGCCAATTTATATACTCAGTGTTACTTAAAAAAAAAGTTCACTCATTTCATATGGGTGTATATTTATTATTAATGTATCAGTGTTACCATCCAAACAAAGAAAGGGAGTAGAATGAAGTATGTATGATGAATAAAACCATGCTGAAAAATTTCCAACTTAAAATAATTTTTGCCATGCTTTATATAAAATATCACTAACTTTGATGAAACAACTGTGGCCTCCATGAAGTGTTATAGTAGACGTCTAATGGGATGAAAATAGTTATTAAATTGCTAAATTACCTTAAAAGAATGTCAAGCACACTACTCGCTCATCTATTATACAGAATATATGGATCCTCCCTAAATAAATATAATATATGCAGGATTCTAGATCTTTATTTAGACTATGTATATTCCATCTGTCTGCCAGCCAATTCCATTAGAATATCAGTGAAACATTATATTTAAGAGGAAGAGTTCTATTTATTTCTCAATCCATGAACATCTGATGTCTCCTTTTCCTGTTTCACAGTACATCTTTTTCTTAAGAGAACCAACAAATCCAATGCCAAATCCAATGGTCTATTTATAGTCTGTGCCTTTTCTTCCTGCCTAGAGCTTAGGACATCACCCATTGCCCTCACTTCTTGAAGTATATTCCTTAGTTTTGGTAATACGACTCTCCTGATTTTCTCCATGTTTGAATAGTCCTTCTCAGTTTTTACCTTGGCTGTGAACCAACTTCTCAATTCAGTATATATTCAGTGAGTATCAGTTAAAGTCACTGTGTTGAGTACTAGGAAGGGGAAAAAAGGGATTACAATGATAATTAAGACATAGCCTCAGGGACAGCAGGTGGCATGGTGGTTAAGGTAACTAAAACAGAACACATTTAAAGAATAAGGATGTTTGGTTATGTCAGAAGTTATATTTGGGGAACCAGCAGTTGGCGTAATGTCTATGTTGGTGGACTCCCACGTAGTTAACCAGGGTTCAAATCCCAGACCCGGTGGCTTAAACTCACACCAGGCACATGTGCGTGTGTGCCCAAGATCCTGAGAGGAGAATGGAGGAGAAGAGATTGTGTTGTGGTCATCCCCCCCGTTGGGTGATTTCTCGCTTTGTCTCTCTGTCTCTCTCTGTCTTTCTGTCAAGCACACGCACCCTACAGGAAAAACCTCTCCAAAACAAAACAAAAGAAAACAAAACAAAACAAAAGTTCTATATGAGCTAGATGAGATCTTCTGAGGAATGTCAGCTACGGTGGCAGTAATATACACTTCAAAACCATCAATATTCCTGAGGGAACTAGCCTGTACTATCATCTGGGCCAAGGGAGAGATGACAGTGTTGATATTCTCTGTGATTGGCTGGGTAGATGTGGCTATCAACAAACAGCAAGAAGAAAAGAATGGGGAAAGGGACAGAGGAGCAATGAGTTTTATTCTGACATGGTGAAATTTAAACAAGCATTTGATAATACAGCTTTGAAACTATGGGTACCAAAATTACAGAGGGAGATACAGGAGTCATTTATATGGAGGAATCGATGCACAGCTCAAGAATTCAGTAAACCAAGGAATCGATGCATAGCTCAAGAATTCAGTAAAAACTAAAAAGAGGGTTGAGAACAAAACCTTAGGATACCATTACCTATAAAAGCAAGAAAAAGTAGAAAAGAATATTGAGGTGGAGTGCCAAGAGAACAAAAGGAAGAATATAATTTTCAGAGAAGGAAAGAAAAAATAAAGTTTCAAGAAGAAAGGAACAGTTACTAGGCTTAGGTCACCTGTGACCTTTTAGAGAAGAGATGTCACACTTAGGTAGGATGAGAAGAGAATGTAAAGGTAGAAATGGTATCTGATCTTTCAGAAAAAAGAAATAAAGCATACTACTGAGCCAAATTTTTTATGGAACTTTCAGGAAAACTTTTGCCTAAAGAAATTGAGAACTATTACAAAGTTGTAATTCATGGAATAAGCACTGGCACAGTGGCAACACAACTGGACCCATATGAGGAGGTCCTGGGTTCCTGTCCTGGGGCTTCCCTATGCATGCCAGGCATATGTGTATGCCCATGATCCAGGCTATCTGAGGCTGAAGGGGCCCATGGCAATGAAGACCCTCTTGGAGGTGTCTCTCTTTCTCTCCCACCCCCAACCTCTATTCATACAGAAAAGGCACAAATTAAAAGAATGATACAAGAAATCAGGTAGCCAGGAACAGATTATTTTATAACAATTTAACACAGGATAATTTGTTGATGATAGTATACGATGAAGTATGTAAAAAAAATTATTTAATAAATAGTGCCACAAACACTTAACCCTAAAAAAGGATAAAATTCGATTATTACACCTTACAACAAAATTGTTTTAGATGTATTTAATGGTTAAATAAAAATATGAATTAGACAGCATAAAAAATATAAGAATTAAACAGTAATCTGATCTCAGGATGAAGGATTTTCTTGGCATAAAAAGAAATATATCATAAAAAAATTACTAACATCAAATAGAAAAGATAGAAATAAAATTGAATATTTATACCAAATATGACACAATTCATATCCTTAATATATGAAAACATCAAAGAGTAAAACACAGAGGCGGACTGAGGCTGCAGGCCCGACCCTACCGAAACTCCACGCACCCCCACCGTTCTTCCTCCTTGGACCCCAGGTTGGTTGCCTGGGACTTTAAGGCGAACCCCCACCCCTCCCCACCCGAAACCCGGATCGAGCCGGCCAGCAGTTCCGGACACCAGGCGGACTGAGG